ATGTTTATTAATATTTATCTTAAAACAATGATTTATTATTCTTGATTTTAAATTAGAGAAATTTTAAAAGAAAATAAAATATATTCTAAACAATAAATATATAAATATATATATTAAAAAATAAAGCAAAAGAAAATAAAACAAAATAAAATAAAATAATCTTTTGTAACTTCAAATTCTTATAATAGTTTTTTTAATAAAAAACGTATCATAATCAAAATTTGCTTCCATAATACTCGAAATTGAAGTAACAATTACTTAATTTATCTATTTAATTGTTTAAATATATAAATAATTATTCTTGAATTAGCTTGAATTAGATAATAATCTTCAACTAATTTTCATAATTATGTAACAAAAGATTTTTTTGTTGTATTAAGTAATTTTTTGTACAATGATTTATACAATAATCAAATTTTTATTATCCGAACTATTATTTAAGCTTAATTATCAAAATAATATTTAAAAAATTTTGATTATTCAGATGAGTGAAGTGAAACGAGATGCAACAGCTGCCAGATCAAATGCTCAAGATGCTTTCAATTACGCTTTGAAAGCTCGTAATCTAACTGACAATGTGAGCAAAGATCTTTCCGATATAAATAAACGAATTCGCAGTACTCTGGATGAAGATCAACCGACTCCTGCTATGGTCAGAGATTTAGCAAATGAAGTGCTGGCCAAGAACATCCAATTGAAACCCGATGAAATTAAAGAATTAGCCGATCGTATTAAGAGTATTGTCGGTTCCTTGACTGATTCTGATAAAATCCTCGCGGATACCAAAGACGATCTTTACCTAGCTGAACAATTGAAAAACCGAGCAACTAAAATGAAAGAAGATGCAATTGAGAAACAAATATTGGCTAATGTAGTGGTAGTTTTGTTGAATGACGCCAAAAAAGCTCAGATTCATGCTCAGGAAGCGATTAATCAAGCTGAACGTGATGTTAGTAGATCTGAAAAAGACTTGGAAGAGATTGCAGAGGTGACCAGAGGTGCTCAGATGCAGGCAAATAGTACTACTCAGACTGTTGATTCTTTGGATGCCCGATTGAAACAATTACAAACTCAATCGGTAAGGAATGATTTCGTTTTGAATCAAGAAATTAGTGTTGAAGCCCGTAAAATTGCCGAGGAAGCGCAGAATGTTGATATTAAAACGAAAGAGTTAGCCATGGAATATAAAAATGCAGATGAATTGTTGAATTCGAGAATGAATAAAAGCAATGGAAATATATTGAGGGCGAAAAAGCTTCTTCAAAAGGCCTCAGAACTGACTGCTGATACTTCAACGAAATCTAAGGATTTGGACGGTATGGAGAGTGTATATAGAGATAACGAGAGGATGTTGTCCGACTTGATGGATCAAGTTGACTCGTTAACTGGGGAAATGGAAAAACATTTGGCGGAAATCGAGCAGAAGGCGCAACGTTACAAACAGTGTACTTCTTGAGCGGATGCAACCAATAACTGATTGATGTATATTTTTATGACTAATTTGGTTTTTAAAAAATGAATGCTTATCGATGTTCTGTTTTGTATTTCGATACTAAATCAAATGAGCTAAATTTCGTATTGTAGAATTTTGTCTTTGTAAATTATTTTTCATTTTCTTACTGAGCTTAAAATTTTACTATTAATAATTTTACAAAAAATGTTTGATAAATTTTATGTAATTTTTTTTTTTTGAAAAAAAAAAGATCCAATTGCAGAAATTTAGAAAGAGTATTTTATTAAGGAACTTTATTACATTTAATTGTAATAATTTTTAATTATAAATATTTTTTTAAATCTTATTATCTATTATAATGTGTACAATGATAAACAAAATATTTGAATCATTGAATGAATGAATATAAAAGAAGTTAAAAAATAGAGTATGAATAATTTAGATTATGAGGACTAAATCGATTTATCATTTTTTTTAAAAATAATTAAAAAATATATGAAAAATAAGAAAAAAAAAGAATTTTTCCAGTGCCATAATTATAAATAAAGAGGCCATTTATATGTTTATATATTTCACATTCATATATATATTTATACGTAACTTTTTAAAAAATCTCATGAAAATAGAAATTAAATTACAGAATAAATATTTTAAATCTTGGAACTAATCATGAAAAATATTAGAAACAAAATTCATATTTTTATGTTAAATTTTTTATTATAGACCAAATATTTTAAAATGAATAATGTACAAAATTAGTAGATTATAATAATGAATGTAGATTATAAAATTAAAACAATCATTTTCACGTTGAAAATATTCTTCAAAACGAGAAAAAATTTTACGAAGAATATCATTGATCTGATAAATCAAAAAATTTTAGAATGTGTTGACAAGGACATAAATATTTTTTATAATTAAAAAAAATACTTTACAGGAAATATACCAAATGTTTTTAAATATTTTCATTCATAATATTTTTAAATAGAATATTTTCATATTAGTTGAAAAGATTTACATCATAAATTATTTTACGATTTCATAAATCAAAATTATATGTAGATTAAATAATCAATCAGTAATCATTATAAATATATATTTAATTGCCTAATTAATAAATAATTTTATAAGATATAAAGAATTTATATCCTTGACAATATATTTTAATTATATAATTTAATTACGAGGAATATTGCGTAAATGAATTATTGAAGAAAAATGACTGATAGTTTTTATACAGAATTAAGGTATTAGTCGACTTAATTCACAATATATAAAAAAATTTAATTATTCAACATTTAATATAAAATTTGTAGTTATATATTATACACATTGAATTTGAATTTTAAAGAAGACACGGTGCAATAGATAGATAGGATTTTTATCAGTAATTTGTAAATATATTACTATATTTCTTCACCAAATTGTATTTTTCCATTTGACATGAATTGGTAATAAATAAAATTATAATATATAATAAAAGAATATTTGATTTAAAATACATGGAAAAAACAAAAAAATATTATTAAATATTAGATGTATTTAATATAAATTTCATATATTTTTAATATTTCAATTATGTATTCAGTATAATGATACAATTAATTATGAATAAATTTGGATATAAATTGAACAATTTCTAAAAATTATTATATCTTTATAATTATTCGGATTATTGGGATACAATGTTTGCAACGATTTTATCTCTTTGTACAATTTAGGACAACTTTAATGAATTATACTAAGCCTGAACAATTTTTTCTTCACCTTTATTTCGTTATCAGTATGACTATTTTTCCACATTTAATCATTCTATATTTGCCTACTACTATTTTGTTTTGTTTTAATTGAAAATATACATATATAATATACATATATATACAATATACAATATAACATACAATAATATAAATCCTAATCTTCCTTCCAATCTTCTTTTATGTTTCAAGAAGTGTAAGGAGAAAATCCAAAAATGGGGAGAGAAGCAGTAGTTCACAAGTTGTCTAGCCCTAAATTATAGAATATTTATATATTTTATATTATATATATATTATATATTTATAAAACATTTTTAATTTTTCGATTTTAAAGTCCAAAATATAAATAAAAAATATGAACAATTTAAATTTGCGTTAGATAAAAAGGAAGAAAGCTATTTGCAGCTTCATTTCATTTTTATGCTTGATCTAATGCAATTGTACTTTAAGATGAACAATTTCATTCATTTTACGATTTCTTCTCCAATGTCATCCACCATTCCATATTTTCTTATCATACTTTTTCTCGTGTGATCGCGAATATAAAATAGGTATAAAATAGTACTTACTTCCTTCATAATTCATAAAACTCTTCTTTCATCATTCATAAAAGTGGAGAGAAAAGTGGCATATCGTTCAGATTTTTCAGTTGTTCAGATTTTTCTTAAAAAATAAGTTTCAATCATAATTCGTATTAAAAATGATTCAAGTTTGTGTAAATTTCTATAGAAGAATACATGATATCATATTATTTTCATTCTACATTAAATAGAGAAACGTTATGTGACATGATGTGATGATGAAAATCTTTTCTTACAATTATTTCGAAAAATAAAGCTGATTATATTATAATATTTTATCTTGTCAAATAATTAATAAAACATTAGATTAAATCTATGTAAAATTTCTTCCTCGAACATTTTTTGAAATAATAATTTTTTTTTGAAATAATAATATCATTTATTTTATCCTTTTTATTTAAATTATGCATTAACTTATCTCCAGTATATATATTACATAAAATGCATAGAAAAAAATTACAATAATATTTAAAATATAAAAGTCTTTATTATACGTTTTTATAAAGTATATATTATAAAGTATAAAATAAAATATAAGTAAAATATAAAATATATATATTTATAATTAAAGTATAAAGTATAAAGTAAAATACATTTTAAAATTCACAAACATTTTTACAAACATCTTCTTTTACTTTTACGATTAAGCATAATAGCGAATAAATAAAAATAAAAGCATAGTATACAATATTGATATTAAAATTATCATTATCATATTGATATTATCAATTATCATTAAAATATTATATAGATTTTATTGCATTAATGTTATATTTAAATTATGTTTTATAATCACTACAGTTATGAAATGATTATATTTAAATTTAAAATCTTTAGAAAGATAGAAATAGTTTTTTGAATTTACTTTATTTCAAAAATATCAATTCCATTTTTTGTTATCAATGTAGGAAAAATCATGGCATTTTTTTGTGGTGTTGTATTCAATATTTGTAAATTTTTATATTATATTTCAATGAATATACTTCATTATATCTATTATCAAGAAGTTCAGAAATGATATATATTGATATATAAAAATATGTTGCTATTATATTATATTTATATAATTTAGAATTACTCGATGAAATATAATGTATTATATAATGTATATAATGTATATATGTATATGTATGTATAATATATATAATGTATTATATTTCGTCGAATAATTCAAAATATTATATAATTTTTTTATTATCTTTACATAATTCAGCTTAAACATATATCAGCTTCAACAAATAATTTTAAAGCTTTTGTTAACATTTCCTCTTCAATATTTAAATTTTTAATTTTATCTATATTTCTTGTTGTATACATTAAACTTTTCATCAAATTTAAATTAATTTGAATATGTTTTAATAATTTAATTGCAGAACATACTTTATTTTCATCATTTATTAATTTATAAGTATATCTTCAAAAGCAAAATAAAAAGCAATATCCAATATTTCCAAAGGATTATTACCATTTGTTTTATTATATCTAGAGTAATAATCCAAATGTTAAATATTATTTTAATATAATCTTTTATTTTAATATAATCTATTTTAATTATCATTAAATTTTGAAAATTTAAACTTGTTCGTTTTCTCTTTATAACTTTTTTCTCATTTAAATAATTATGAATATTAAATTCCTTAGCAATATTTCTTAATTTTTTATTTTGTCTATTTATAAAGATTATAACTTGTTGTAATGTTAAAAAAAAATAATGCAATTGCTTCATTAATTCATAATATTTTTTAATTTTACTTTTTTTTGTATTATCATCTGTATTAAATAATTTTATAATAAATTCTATTGCTTCCTTTTTATTAAACATATCTAACTTTAATGCATGCATTTTTTTTGACCATTTTGTATTATAGGAAATAATTAGAATATGCAATTTATTATAGTTAAGGAATAGAAGAGGTAAAAAATTTTCTATGTCATAATCAAATTCATATTCACTTTTGTATTTTTCAGCCAATTTACTCATAAAGGAAGAACTCATAGAAGAAATTTCATAGATTTCAGCATTTGTCCATATCACTTTATCATCATATTCTTTACTATATTCTTCGATATTTTTTTCAATTAACTCATTTTTATTTATTTCTCCAAGGTCACTGACACAAATAATATTTTGTTCCACTTCGTTTTCATTTTTATCTTGTACTTTATGTAAATTAAACAATTGTTCGATTCTTCCGGTGAATATAAATACTAGATTCTTTAAATGAAAGAAAACAGGAGTTTCGGTTTTTCTTTCTTCGAAAAATTTCTTCCCTTCTTCGTAGGAAAGAAATCTATCTTTTTCCGGATCCATCATCCAATTCAACATTTTTACAAGGAATCTATTGTATACAGCTTCCGTTTTAGTAATATCAAATTTCTTACCGATTTCCTTCTGAATAATGTTACCTAATTCTTCTTGATTAGGCTGATTAACAGCAAATACAAGATGATTTAAAAAATCTTCTATCTCATCAATTTCATAATTAATATTCGCTTTCTCTAGTGTATTCTTTAATAAAGAAGTTACATTACTTTTAAACATATAACGTGCGGGTTGTTTTTCAATGAATTCCATATCCAAAATATCATCTTCATCTTCTATTTTCTCAATTTCAATTTTTGAATTTTTCAAATTTTCAAAATCCAAATCAATATTAGTATAAATGATAATATCTTTTATCGTGCTATTTTTAAAGAATTTGTCATTTTTAAATTTTTGATAAGAAAGAAAATATTTAATTAAACTGTAATCTCCTTTTTTTGATAATAATTCGTGTTCTGTTATTTTATAATGTTCTTTCAATTTGTGTTTAGCTTGTAATAGACGATAAATTTTTTTGTTATCTTTAATGTATTCAAGTACTAAATCATCAAATGCAGTAGCTTCTGCTATTTCTGTACCTAAGCGAAATGAATAACGACGTTGAATGCGATAGAAGAATAACATTAACAGTTTTGTTTGATAGATATAACCATGCATTGCGTTATTTTGTTTCTTTCGTTCATTTTGTTTTTTCGTTTTTTGATCAGACTCTTGTTCAGAAATTTTATTTATTTGGAATTGATCCGAATGCTGTAAAGCGTGAGCTTTAATATTTTCATATTTATTATAGTCACACATATTTTTTATTAGATATAATATTTTATTATTTAACATTTTTGCGATATTTATCTATAAAAATAAACAAATAATTATTAAAATATATTTTATATTATTTTTATAATTATTTTATTTATTTATTTATTTTTATAATTATTAACATATTAATTCATATTCTTTTTTAATTTTTTCATAATTATTCAAATTATTGTTTTTTTGTTTTTAAATGAATCGCTATATTCTCATTTTAATAGGAAGGGAAAAAAATTATTTTCGAGTGAAATAATATAATAAAATAATATATTCGTATATTTTTGGAGTGTTAATCTTAAATACCAAAATATATTAGCATACAAAATATGTTAGAGTTGATATACAATGTTAATCTATCGTTATCTAAATCTAAAGTTTATCTATTAAGTTATAAATAGTAAGATTTTTAATTGAAAACGATAAGTTAAACAAAGTAAAACGAAGATAGAGTGAGAAGAGATTTGGTTTCAATTCACTTCAATTACAATTTCAAGCTTAAAATTTTTGGAAGTTTTGATAAATTTTGCAAGAAAATTTTAAGATTTTCAACAGCATTTTTCGATTATATAATCAATATAATCAGAATATAAAAATATATTGAACATAGAAAAAAATAGCAAAATAAATCGAGTATCAAAGCTATAAAGAAAACAGATGGGATAAATCTGATAATTTGTTAATTATCGATCTATTTTTTTATTATTTCTATATTCGAATCTTTTTCTTTTTTATTCTTTTGTGTTTTCTATACACATATATTCTATACTTGGTTTTACTATATACGAGAAATGCTATAAAAATTCTTAAATTTCTCAAAACAATCAATTTATAAGACTTATCAAAATTTTTAAGAAAGAGAAATAGAATTGAAAATAAATGAATTGCTAAAGATTAACCTTAAAAATTTCGAAACATTTCGAAATTGAGATTCGAATATCTATCATTAATAAAACGCGAATTTAAATTATTTACAACTTTAAAGAATAAATTTGAATTTTTTTGTTTATTTTGATTCATAAAATAAAATCGATCCATTATTTATTTGTTTATTTTGATACATAAAGTAAAATCGATCTTCGAAAAATATCTTCAATATATTTACATTCTTTACAATTGAAAAAGAGAAATTATTGAAAAAGACAAAAATAAATTTTTCTATATTTTACTTACTTTGTTTATATTTTTTTTTCACTTTAAACACTTTATTCATGTAAATTATATTATTCATATATCATATATATGTCTGACATTAAGACAAATAATATTGCAAATACAATTAACTATTGAACTATTGAAATTATCTATCTATTAAAATATCAGCAAACTTATCTAATAAGATATCTAATATCTAATATTTCCTATCAATTGATAATAAAATGATTGCCAGTAATGTGAAGACATTGTATGAATATGTTCCATTGTGCGATGTGTTAATAGTTTGACTGTATTTTATTCATTCTCTTTTAATTGATAGGAACAAAGTTATCAGATGAAACTTTAAATTTTTAGAATCTGATGTTAAACTCTGATTTGATAATATTAAAAAAGAAAAAATGATGCGTATGTTAAAATACTTCTTCATGCAACACTAAATATTATAATTTTGTCTTTTTTTGTATAGTGACAAATTCAATATCAATAATTAAACAATGATAACAAAATCGTGAATGTACTATTATATGAAAATACTTTATATATTTTATATATTTTATATAATTGATAGTGTAATAATTGCATCATATTTTTTTCCCTAAGTTAATTTTTTCTTTCTCTATACTCTTAAGTTAGAAAATCTAAAGTCTTATATCTAATAATCTTGAGATGTGATTCCATAATTTCCCTAGTCTATTACTCTATGATGTTTTAGGCAATTTCTTTATTTTCGTATTTGATAATCAATATTGCCGAAAACTATAAAATCTATTAATTACAAGCATAATTGATGGATGAACGCAATATTTTTTTATCACTAAAAATTATTTAATTTCTTTAGCAAATTTTCACAAAAAAAAAATACATGTTATATTATCTCTATTGTCATTAAACAAAATTACGTCATAATGCGATGCTTCACTTTAGCGAAAGTCTATGTGTCATATAACGTATCTCTGTCTAATGTAAGTAGCAATGGTAGTAGGGATGATGTGACATATCATGTATTCTTCTGTAGAAAGTTATTGCAGAGGGATCGAACAATTTTTAATGGTATCTTGTTCATCGCAACTGTGGTTAGACAGAATTTCTTATTTTTGAAGACCGTAATATATATATATATATATATATAAATTATTTAATATAAATATAATATATAAAAATTATTATTAAATATATAAAAATATTAAAAATTTTTTTTTTAAATTTTCTTTTCTTTTCTTATCTTTTAATATTCTTTTTTTTAATTTTATCCGCATTATTTGTTATATTAATTAGTGCATAGAAAATGTTTTTTTATCTGAATTAAATATTTAATATTGTTTTAATAATTTAATTGCAAAGTTTACTTTATTTTCATTATATATATATATATATATATATAGATAAATGAATAAAGAAAATAAAAAACAAGCAAAATTGAAAATTATAGCGCGATATTTTACAAATTCATTTGTGTTCATGTCATTCATGTTATGTCAATAGCTATGTTCAGTCAATAGCTATAATCATTATTTCTCTCATATGCATTAATCTATTTTGCTTACAACTAGTTGCTTACAACTGACTCAACTTCATTTGACTCAATTTGTGGAACTCATTGTATTTAGTTTATTATAATAATTAGCTATATTATTATTCCATTTATTATTATTCCTATTATAGAATTTAATGTTAAATTCTTTTAGTTTGATTTAGATAAATTTAATATTTATATAAATTTATATCCAAATAGCACAAATTTACCGTCATGTTTGTATCTTACACAGGCAAAATCATAGTTATTAATATATGAATTTATTTATTGTAATACATTTTAGTGAAAGTTTATATTAGATAAATATAGGAGATAAAAAAAAAATGAAGTGACTTTATATTATCACTATTTATGAAAGTTTTTTATTAATATTTTGGAAAATAATGATTAAGATAAAATTTTATATCCACTTCTTCTTCTCTCCCATCGATCAATTACAATTACAATTACAACTATTTCGTAATTATAATTTTTCAATTTCGAAGCCAATTCATTATGGTTTAATAATAAATGTGACTTTATAATATTGATCCGTCATTCATATTCATATAATTTTATTTTTCATATTCATATAATTGAAAAATGGCAATCGTATACTGACATATACATAAATGCGTATGTACAACAATAAAATTTAATAATACCAATAATATTAAAAATTTTTTGTTCTTAAAATTAAACTTGAAAATTAAATGTGATTGTTATAAATAAAAAAAAAATCAAAATTCCTCTTGCAATATAAGTCAGAATCAAGGAAAAAGATAATTGATAATATGTGAATAATATTGTAATTCATTTATATGATATCATTGGAAAAATACCAAAATATATGTAATAATAATAACATATTAAATATTTTACTATTTTATAATATCATATTATAAATATATTATAAAGATTATATAAATATAAAATACATATATAAAATACGTATACAAAAATTACGTATAATTAAGATATAAAAGTATTTTTTTAAATAAAATAAAATATATTTATAGAATTTAAAATTCATTTTAAAAAAATATCTTCAGCATTAAGGATGGAAATAAGAATAAAAATATCAAATAATAATAAAATTTTATATTGATATCAATGGAGGAAAGTACCCGCTTTTGTTAGGAGAAATTTTATAATATTAAAACTATTAAAATTTTTAAATATATTCTCAATATATGTTCATGACCATTATTTTCAATAATATTAAATAATATGTTTCGTCGATTATCATAGATATTGTCAATTTCAAACTTACCGAATAACAATTTCTTTTAGTTTGGTGATAAGATTGTTATATATATATTTATATAATTTTTTCACTAATATATTATATTTTGTTAAATCGAAATTGCATGATTTATATTAGATGAATATATATTTATTTTGTCAAATAATTTAAAAATTTTTTTTTTAAATTTTCTTTTCTTTTCTTATCTTTTAATATTCTTTTTTTTAATTTTATCCGCATTATTTGTTATACTAATTAGTGCATAGAAAATGATTTTTTTATCTGAATTAATCATTTAATATTGTTTTAACAATTTAATTGCAGAATTTACTTTATTTTCATTATTTATTAATTTTAAAAATATCTTTTTAACAATATATATTCAGCAATATATCTTCAGAAGTAAAATAAAATGTAATTTGTAATATTTTCAAAACATTATTTTCATTTTCTTTTTATTTGATTATATTTAGAGTAATATTCTAAATTGTAAATATTGTTTCATATTGCATTATATATAATCACTAATCATTAAATTCTTGAAATTTAAACTCTAAAACTTCCTTTGCTTTTTCTTTATACTTGATTAAATAATTGATTAAATAATGAATATTAAACTCCTTATCAATATTTTTTAATTTTTCATTTATATAAACTATAGCTTGTTGTAATATTAAAGGAAAATAGTGCAATTATTTCATCAATTCTTTAATATTATTTTTTTTTATATCACTATCTATATTAAATAATTTTGTAATAAATCTATTGTTTCTTTTTCATCAAACATATTTAATTTTAATACATGCATATTTTTTGGGCCTTTTATATTACAGAAAATAATTAAAATATAAATTATTATAGTTAGGAAATAAAAGAGTAAAAATTTTTTTATGCCATAATCAAATACATATTTATTTTTGTATTTTTCAGTATTGTCAAAAATAAAAAGACATTTTTGAATGCTTCGTTTTTCTAATCTGGAAAGTGAATTTTATTATAAAGGTATTTTAAAGAAAACAATATAAATTATATCGATGATTAACATGTGAAAAAAATCTTGAATATATTCTAGAAACAATAAGTTAAAAAAAATTTTTTTAAATTATTTAGAATTTTTTGAGAGAGTTTTAAATTTATAATAATTTTCTATTTTGTACTCTAATAGAAAATTAGATTCTGGCTTATCTACGAAAGATATTTCCTGTCAATTTCTCAAGTAGATGGATATAAAATATATCCTTCAGAGATGCTCATATATAAGTAAAAATATGTAGAATTGAATTAAGAAAAATCAAGAGATACTCTTTAACGAAATTTATAACTTGTTCATTATTACAATGCAAATAGATTAAAGATATATATCTAAAAGCAAGAATTTTTTTTAATTTGGAAGGCCAAATTGTTAATTTTATGACTCAATATAGATGATAATACTTCCAACACAGAAACAGACAATAACTTCCAACACATAATAACTTCCGATACAATATATGCCTTCTTTTTTCTTCGATTAACAAAAAATTAATAAAAAACAAGATTATGCATCAAAAAATCGTTCATTTGATAACTCAAGTTCATGATAATAATATAAGATATTTACAAAAAAAAGAATTAATAATATTGAAAAAAGCTACCAATGAAAAAAGTTATATATATATATTATTATAATACTTATTTTTAGAATTATAAACAATTCAAACTTATTAGTAAAAGAAGATGACAATAGAATGAAAATACTCATTGTTAATTCAATGGCAACACTATATTGTAATATATGTTGCATAAATATTAACTTCTTAATAAAAAAGTGATGCATATATATATATATATATATGTATGTATATATATGTATATATGCATTCTATGAAACATCTTTTCTTTAGGGAAATTTTAATAGGGAAATTTTTTTAGTAATCTTCATTATATTTTCGTAAAAGTAATTTATAGTGTAACTTATGTCTATCTATTAAAATAAGCTAAGCGATACAGTTTATAATTGAAAAAAATATAATAATTTAATTAAACTTAAATTCTTCAAAATTTCAATTAAATAATAGAGCTAATGAAATAATTTTGAATTTTATGAAATAAATAGATTTAATTTAAAACAACGAATTTTATAATTAATTTTCATAATTTCAAATAATTATCAAAAGCACTATTATATGATTAAAATTTAATCATTTTATCATTATAAGTGACTATTATATGCTTAACGTTATACAATAATAATAAAAATAGAATAAATTTGATTGTTATTTGTTGTATGTAAAAATAAGTATTTTATATAATATTATATTTTA